TTTGTCTTCTTTTGATATCGTAGATGCCCCGGGTCAAGGATCCACGGAGTGAATCAAACTATAATCAGACTAATCCCAATTCCAAACAGCAACAATCAAAACGACACATACTAGTAATAATGAATGGCTGGTGCTGAATCCGTCGGGAAAACAACGACCTTAAAGGGAGCGACGAAGAAAAGGAGCCACGCACAGGAAGAGAAAGCAAAAACAGGAGAAAAATAAGAGAGAGAAGAGAGAGATCGAAGCCGCACCAGGTGGTTTTAATCGGGAAACCAAGGCGCCCACGATGCACAGGGGACTCATGAATCATCCATGGATGAAGCTGGGTGAAGCCAGCCCCATCTCCATCCACCACGATCCACCACCCAACATGAAGCCCGCTAACACACCCCTAATTCCTCGCTGCTTGGCCGGGCCAAGCAATACGACGCGTGAGGAGGGCCGAGACTCATGTCAGAGATAATCCTAACCTTATTTCTCACCATGTGTTTCTTGTTGATTGTATTCTCTGGAGGGGCTTCCTGCTCTGTTGTACCGCAGCCAGGGAGGGTCGTTCTTCAGACGCTGTAGTGGGGGTTGCTGGTTGGGAGCTGGTCGGGTTGCAAATGATATATCTTCGGGCTACTTTGTACGCAGCATTGACGGCGGTTGCACAGGAATGCGTTGTTGGGACTTGTCGACGGGCTTGGAGCGGGGATGCAAATGCGGATGAGGCACAAGTGATCCACCGGGAGCCCATATCTGGTTTGTTATTTGAGGAGGAACCGCCATCCAGGAGGTCTGTGAAACCACTGTGATTTTGTTGTCTATATCCATGATATGATGATTGAGGGCAGTTGGCAATTCACAGAGATCTCTGCGCGGTTGAGATAGTTATTTATTCTGATCTTCCTTCTTGCTTGGCGAGGTTGTTTCTGTTTCGGTCTCTGATTTTTCAGTTTCCTATCTCGACTTTCGCATGCTAAAACACACCATCCACCACGCATACCTTGGTTTTATCTTCTCACCGGATCAGTCATGGCGCTGGAAACCATTCAGCAGTGGCTTGCCAGTGGCTTTCAGGAAACCGTCAGCAATTTCTCTAATATCTTCGTCCGCAGGACATACTAGTGCACTCTGGTAACCAGATCTTGGTTTTACCAGCCCCTTTAACTCTAATCTAACCTAATCTAAGATCCTAACCTTGGGACTTTCATCTCGCAGTATCGCTCTGTAGCCTTGATGGCGACAGCGATGAGGGCGGATGAGGGTCGATGAGGGCACTATGGGAGCAATCCACATAACTTCCTCTGGCGGTTTCACGATGCAATCCCTGATCAGGAACAGCATGCCCGAGCCCGACGCTGTGGATTGGACAAGCGCTTGCCACTAGGCAGAATGTGCTTGGTTTCAACTGGGTTGGAAAAGCCCCTTCGTCAGATTGGCGCCAGCATACCCAGCCCCTTGCATGATGTAAACCTTGTCCCGTGAACTACAGCGTACGGCGTACTAACTCGCCAAGCAGCTTGGTTGAATAAATCCCTCCAACAAGTCCACGGCAACATTGTCCGTATTTTTAGTTGCAGCTCAGATTCTCCCGATTGTTCGAGAGGCTGCGGGTCGACGAGAGGGGACTTGTGTTGGAACGGAGAGAACACGTAGCATGTCAGGCAGGAAGGAGGTTAGGAAGTTTGGCCGTTGACATCCAAAAGATAATATAACTGTTAGATCATCGTGGCGCTTCGAACTGTTTCGCTGGCCACCAACCCACTGTTGGCGAAGTTGGAATTCATCAATGCCTTGATCCACAGGGAGTAACAACATCCAAACATCTGCGGGCCGCATTCTCGTTGGTGTTGAGTGCATCGCCGAGAAGTTGTTCCTGGATTCCTTTTTTGCTTTTTTCTCGCGTGGCTGTGAAAGGCGAAAATATTATTGGCGCTGCTAGCAACCGACTGACATCTCCTTCCGCATGCACCTTCAAAACTTTCGACAGTCACCTCCATTCCTCGATTGCTATTTGCCCTGAGTGAAATTGGCTGCTTTTGTTCCGGTGCTTACAGCGTACGCCCATGATGAAATATGACAGCTTTCTCAACCCACTCAGCTATCTCCGACTGGGTATTTCCCACACCGGTCTGAAATACTGATATCTGAACGAAATGTTATCGCCTGGACACAGTCGTTGAGTTGATCCATAGGTTGATACTCTCTGGCCTTCTACAGTATGCCTGCACCTCCCGTTTCACTTCCACTCTTACTTGAGTTGCCACGGCTCTGGCGGACAGCTCGGTAGCCATGTTAGTCTGTGTGCCTGGCCAACGTGTAGGTTCGCATCGCAAAATCGGCCCTGACATGCATCTCCTTGAAAAAGGGTTGAAAATGTTGGAGATGCGTATGAAGGAGCTTGAGGTTTCAAGCAGGTTGCGCCGTACCTTCATACACATGTACTGTATGTCCTGTTACATACATCAAAGAGTTCACGCATACATATCTACCAAAGCAAAAGCGAATGCATACTCCTTCAGCAAAACTTCTACACACATATATACAGCAATGCCCCTGTTGTTGGTTTGCTTATTTATCCTCCTACGTTGGACTGATAGTGCATTATCGATATTCATGTGTTTGATATGGTGGACATGAAATAATATTCAACAGGGAAAACAAGAAAAATTAAAGGGAAAGGAAAGGAAAGGAAACAGGTGATCATTCAATTTACTATTTGTCTGTCAATAGTAACTCTGCTCAGCTAATGAAATGACGAATATTCGTTCTCTCACTTCACTGGATCATAAATCGAGAACCTATTTATCATGATTTATTGCACTACTAGTATACAAACACCCATATCCAATATAAATAGATGTGGCGAACTTGGAAAAAGTGTTCAATAAGTCTAAAACAAAGCAGTTAAGGGAAAGTAAACGGCTTGTGATATAAAAATAGATTCAACCATCCCTTGGTATAATATCAAAATTATTCGCATCCGATAGAACCTCACACTGGCCCACAAAGGAGACCCGTGACCCTTCTTGATGACCCGAGGTAATCGATCCAAGAACCCGATCCTCTGCGCACAAAACGGCTGGTCGCTTTAAATGTATAAAACAAAGCTCATGTGATATGGGGGATTTTAGGTGAGGTCGCGCCAAAGTTTCTTTAAAAAACTGGTTTCTCTGAAGCGCTGTGTTCTATCTTCCCGCTGCTTATTCCAACCTATCGAAGGTGCCAGGAATCACCAAGATGCTAGTGTCGTACTACTGGATGTCTTTTTGCTAAAGGATGGGTGGAGAAGTGCGCCGAGAGAGGCAGCAAGAGGTAGCTTGACAGGGCTTGAAATAATGGACTGGGTGGAAACCTTGAAAATGATAACCACGCTATCATTACTACTTCGTTTCCACGTCCAATTCCATGTAGACCAAAGAAGAGGTTAGATGAGGGTTTTTCGTATAGCACGCGTTTGCCATAGGCCTGGCACGAAGATATCATCCAGTGCTATTTCGATGGAGGCCAAGTACCCAGATATGCTTGAAGTGCTAGTTAACATAGGTCGACATCAATATTTCTACAAAACTCGGGGGATAATTTTCATCTATTCTTTAACTTGGTCCATCCACGTGTCCCTTTTAGTCGGTGGTTATTTGTCGTGTCCTCATTGCCATGGTTATCATCGCCTAGCGGTTTAGCTGCGAGAGAACTTGCGGCGTCACTGAGAACGCCATCCATCACACCTGAAGGGGATTTTGTAGCCGTCGGAGCGGGCTCCTCTTCTCCTTCGGGGAAAATATGCCTTTGGGAATATTCGTCCTCCCATTCTGTTTTGTCGAGTAACTCCCACTCTGCGCTCGTCATTTCTCCCAGGAGAACGGATTTCAGCTTGTCAACGACCTTAGCTGTTGAAGGCTGTTTCCACTTCCTCATAAACTCCGTCCCTTCTGCGCTTCCAAGGAATGAGTGCGCCGTTCCATGAGAATAATGACCAAACATTGGCGAGGATCTGTTTCGTGGGATGGGTTGGTTTGGAATCATCCTTATTCGAACTGTGAAGTTTTGCCTGGTTATCCCGGTTTGATAGCACTCTGCTTATCGCTGGCACATGAGACGGCTGGGCAACGAGAAGCATCCATAGGTTACGACCGATATCATATACATCCTCCCAGGAATCAACACCAACATGTAATCCTTGAGTACGACAAAGCCAATAAATGTTCCAAGCCAGGAGTGCAACTCCTTCAAGGAACAACCCATAGGTTGCAGGGTCTTCATGTGCAAGTTTTGGTAGAGATTTGTTGACATAAAGGGGCCGTGGGCGTGGAGATGGTCTACTATCCGTAGTCCGAGAAGCTGTGGGACTCGAAGACGATGATTGAGAAGGTGATGCGCCAGGAAATGTTGTTTCTTGTGATAAATATGAAGATGACGGTGAAAATATAGTGGGTAGAGGGTAATTTCGATGGGGCAGCGTTATCTCTGCAGGTAACCGTAGGGAGAGGTAATGAGAAACGAGGACTAGGAGGTGGGAGATGTAGGTAAGGGATGTGGTAATGAGAAGATGGTTTGCGCCTGTACATTTGACTTAGTGATTTGGCCAACAAAGATGCCACTCTACGGCACGCTTACTGTTCAGGTCTCTGAGATCCGCAATGCTAACTCCTCCGATAGTGTAAACGGCAATGAGCTCGCCATTTTTCCGTCTCGTCCTCTGGCGTAAGCGATAAAGATTCGCAACTTCGCGACACAGGAAAACTCGAGATTGTGCAGTTTTATTATGCAAGCTATTCCATAAGTGCTCGGTTCTCTTTATGCTATCTTGCACTGTAGCCAACATTGATGCTCGTCGATCTGTTACTTGATATGTAGCGGATTCCATATCCGATCGTCGCTGCTTGAGTAATGCCTTGCGATGGGTTATGTTTTCTTTCCCTTCTCTTATTTCCTCCCTTAACGTTGTTATGCGGTCGAAAATATCTGATGTCCTCACGGTCGACTGCGAAACACGACTTTTGGCAGCTTGAATGGCCCAGCGAGACGAGCGCTGTTTAGCTCTCAGGTCGCCTGGACACCCATTCTCCACAGATTCAGTATCGTATGTGTTTTCAGTCACCACTGCAGCTTCGATTTCTTTCCCGATAGCTTCCTTTTCTAATAAAACCCTGGCGTGATCAAAGCGAAGAGGATAAAGCTGGTTACGGGTACACGTCGGGCACAGAAGCTCAAGTTGGGAGTTAGGCCCACGATCACATACGTAGCAGTTCATAACCGGAGATTTCCCTAAAGCTTATTAAACAACTGTCCAACAAATATAGTCGAGCTCGCATACTCCCTCCAATATCCCTCAACAGGCTAGAACTGCTGCCGGTCGAAATGACGGCTAGAATGAGCACAGATGTTATTTCATGGATACTAGGTTTTCATGATTTGGGCGGAGAAGCGACGGCCAGTAGCTCAACTTATATGGTATTTAAAAAGATCCATCTATCTCCAACTGATCCATAAATGAAACAAGAGGAAGCCAACCCGCAAACTGCGCATTTTAAACTCTGTTTGGTGACTCGAAGTCGATGAAGGAGCCGAGAGGTACTCGGACAATCTAGATGATGTCACCTGATGGCAGACGAATGTTTGCACTGTTTGCACTATTGATATTGTTCGACCACTAGCGGTAACGGAAACTCCTGCCTCGTGCACAACTACTACTCGAGGTCACATTGGGAGATCATGTCGATGGTTCGAAAGAGTAGCAGGCGGTACGTTACGCACACGAAGTTATAAGTTGTCATTGATATACTACTAGCACCTAAGCGGCGTGGCTCAGTCTGGCCACTCTAGACGCGTCGTGACGCGAGACTGAAAACGAGGTGCTCTTGATCTCGAGATATCACCATGTCGAATGGGCATTGCAGTTCACCGTCGCTAATACCCCGCCCCGTTACTGTGGATCCAGCACGCGGGAAAGAAATTCCAAATGCGAGCTCCATTACTCAAAATCTTGAAGCTAGTGCAGAACATATTCCTCAGGATGCAGCCGAGGACGGAGTATTCGATGAATATGAGAAATTGGCCCTCTCTCTTCGCGATTGTGATTGGGAACAACTGCAGAAGGAGTTTGCAAACGCGATGGACGAGCGATCCCAGGTAGAAATGGCTCTACACAAAGAAACTGCCGAACTACTTGAGGTTGGTGCTGTATGATTCCTTCAGACATAGGAGACATTAAAGATATATGACAGATGTTCACCGCATGGTCACAAACGACAGCATACCGTGACGAAGATAGAGCATATAAAAGGCAGGCTCTGTCCCAATTGACTTCCACAAAGAAATAAAAAGCTAATCTATTATTTCCTCCTGCTAGGTTTAAAACACGAATGGGTTTCGCACAGACCTCAGAAACTAAATTGGAGGAGAAAAAGAAACACTGTATGGCCATAGCTGTTGGATAAACAGAATAAACATGCTAACATCCTGTAGATGCGAATGTCGTAAGAGCCTTTGAAAATGCACTTGCTCTCCTCCAGTTTGATTAAATGCAGGGCTTCCCAGCCGATGTGGTAGGTTGGGTGACATAATCGCATGTATTGCGCCAAGGTTTTGCCATTTGTGTACTCACCGCCTTGCGTCATTCCGCCGACCACTCTTAGTGGTTGTGCAACTGCTTTGACTTGCTGAACGTCTTTCTATGCTATATCCGGTGTATATCATACATGATATATGGATTATGGAGGGTAAACCATCTGAAGATGATGCAGCCCTTTTAGAACGCTTAAATGCTCTGAAGCCATCTACTGTCCAACTGGGACAAACAACGTTCGTAAACATTCCAGGAGTTTAGTGGTGCAGAATAATATTTCTGATTAACCCTTTGTAGTCTTCCATTTAGCCTATCGGACATAGATGTGGACGAACCAGTCGATGGCTTGTCTGCACGATTCATGAGACTTGATACATCCGTTTCGCTTGGGACATCTGAGCTCCGGCAAGGCAATCTGGATCCCTTTATCAACTCCGGGGATGAGATAGAAAATTTACTTTCGGACCTTCAAAACAAGATTTGGGAAAAATCTCAGGAGCTAGACAACGAAGACGATGTTGTCAATTTACTCAAGAAAACCAAAGAAGTCATGAATTCTTCTTCCCAATATCAAGACTTAAGAGGTACTCATGAATGTCCACCACAGTCAGGGCCCTCCAAAAAAAGCGACAGCTGCCATAATTCGGAAGATAAAGACGCAGATGATTGTCTCCAAAGGATTCTTGATGAACTGGGCGTGGAGGACCACCAACAAGCAGAGACAGAAAAGCAATCCGGTTGCGCTGCTAAGGAAAATTCAATGACTGGGCTAGAAACAGCGCCAACGAACCACTCCGCGTTAGATACGGAACCAATAACAGAGACACCCGTCTCCCTACAATCACTCCTAAATCTTCCTTCAACTCCATCAGCACTGCCGCCCCCGCCACCTCAAGAACCCCGGCCCATAGCCGATTCCAGCTGTCCAACCCTGCCCTCCGCCCCTATATTCACGCCTGCCGATAACCCTATCCATATCACCAACAGCCAGCGCGGCAGGCACTGGAAGGACATCAATGATAACCTGAAGCCATTTTGGTGTTGTATTTGCAGCGATGATGCGAGCATAAAATGCGTTGATTGTGAGTCGGAGTTGTTGTATTGTTCCCGTTGTTGGCGAGAAGTGCACATGGAAGAAGGAGATGCAGAGGAGAGAGCTCACCGGGTGGAAAAGTTTGAGAGGGATAAATCCTGATTTTTCTTTTTTCTTTTTGTTGGCATTATTTGAGTAGAATTTCGAATTTTATTATGTGACATAATTCTTCACTTTCAAAATAAAAATTTACCAAGATAATTTATAAATAATTATAAATCCTTACAATTTTTTACTTTTATATAGAGAGACTGTAAGTTAATAACTACATCTTATATATTTATCCTAGAAAGTAGCGGCCCTATATTGATTATAGTTTCTTATAAATTAAGTATATATTCTTATAGATATTTCTGACTAGTAAAAATCTCAAGTAATATTATAATATACAAGTTAACGTCATATTTAAAATAAAACTCTCGTACAAGAGGTTGATTGATTTCCTTTGTTGTATGAAACCCTGTTAGTTCTGGAAGTAATGCAGACCTCCTATGAGGTCCATCAGCGAAGCACGAGATCAACCAATACCCGGGTGCAGCCGGAAATACCTTGTGGAAAATCTCTTCAAAGAGTACCTCATAACGTTGCTAGCCAATTACTTGAAATGAATAACCCAACTCCGGACCGGTGAGCAAAAATACATTCCTTCAACCCCACCACTTGCCCTCCAACCCAACCTCTCCAACCCAACCTTGAACCGCCCTTGACTGAAAAATCTCCCAGCCGTACATTGCTACTTGGATATCGGGAACCACAATCCACATGAGGCTTCCAGCATCCCATCGCATCTCCCGAGTCCCAAGCTAGTTGCCAAAGACACAGATGCAATAAAACCTATCCGAGGAAAGCGGCATAAAAAAATTCATCGAGTTTCTCGACTTATGAATTATATGAGGTATTCTTTCTCTCCATCACGCCCCGGTCGGTTCATTCACGAGTTCCCCGACCAGCGGAGCCAGATACTTGAGGCGATCTGCTCGCTCGTCCCGTTATATCTTCCCACGTGGCCCCAAATCTCCTCCCAGTACTTGCCAACAGTCCTTCTTCCTCTGCTGCTTCCGCGTCTTCGTCGAATTGTTGTTCGTCTAACTTCGGTGTTCGGAATATTGTGACGAGGAAAACAAGGAGAGAGAGCCCTAAACAATAAGATAGAAGAGGTTTAGTCGGTTAGGCATTTAATATTCTATTTCGTTGATGTTTTGTGAAGATAGCAGCCTGTTCAGCTCAGGTTACAAATTCACTTACCAAGAAAGAAGAACTGCGCCCAGAAGTCGACTATACCGAAAAATGGGAAATTTAAAGTGATACGGTTTAAAAATGTGCTGACGACCGTGGGTGTGCAAATTTCCTTGGCGGTCGGGTTTTCTGATAGTTCAGAGCAAGGCTTGATAAGCGGTTCCAGGCCGGTACAGTCTGGCTGTTCCCCGGGGTGCTTAGGTGGGTGGTCACAGAAAGTCTGTGGGCCGTACGTTGCATATTGTGGAGCGACTACCATAGAGATCGAGTAATTGAGTGCGAGCGTGATCAGAGTCAGCATAACCGTTGTGATAAGGAGCGCCTGCGGCGACGTGTGGCCCTTGCGGAGCTGGAATATTCTGACCCATAAAAAGCGTATTCCTGTCGTTGCAATTCCAACGACGGAACTGCAGAAGAAAACGAGTACTAGGAATACGAAGAGGATGTAATCAACCGGGAAGACCTTGGAAGAATGGACGAATACCCAGTTAATCGGGTTGAGGATGTTGGTTTTTCCTAGGATATAACCGCAATTCTGTTTGCAGATAGAATTCATCGCCTTGTCAATACTAGTTAGGAGCATGGAGACCCAAACCAACATAGCAATAGCAAGTAAAAGCAAACCACTGAGAAGTTTAAGTGGACGGAAGACAGCTGACAACTTAAACCACGCATTCAGGAGCCAGCTCCCGCTGGGCCGGCGAGCTTCTTCTGCCAGACGCTGCCGTCGTCGTAAGGTCCGCGCTTGGCGCACCAAAGAATCAAGTTCCCTTCGTTGTTTCGAGGGTAGGCGATCCGGATTTCCACCGCAGCGACCTTCTAGTTGGCGTTGGCGTTCTATGTTCTCTTCAAGCCGTGAAGCTGTGTTCGCACTGAGAGTAGGGCTGGAAATGGCTGGGGCCGACTTGATAATAGTGACAGGTAGTAAGGCTAGGCCGGTAGATGTATACAAGACATACACCAAAATACCAATTGTAATGAGCAAGCCGAGAGCAAAGGTTAAAGCTCGTTCTCCATCTGAAATTTGAAGCCTTAGTATGCTATGTAATCAAAATTACATTGGATCATAGCTATAATTTTGATAGAAAAATGAAGGAACTTACGATTTTCTGTGAGCAGCCTTCTGAAATAGTCCAGATCAAGATTGGGTTTGTCCTTCCTTCGGCCAATGGGGACGAAGAATCCAACCAGAAATAGGATAACCGTCAACAGAATAAAAGCCACAGTGTATTTGAAGGCACCCCAAAATCTTTTCCTGAAAGTCTGAGAACCGTCCTCGCTTGCTACTTCATCATATTCTTCGTACCAGAAGTAGGTGAAAGGTACCACCAGCAGACAAAGCACCGCATCGAGGGAGTAAAGAAAATAATAGGCCACAGCTAAGGAGAAGGTAATCTTGTCGACCTCATCCTGAGTCGCCCAGGATTTTCGTCGTCCTTCCCTGGACGACGTGGTAGAAGATACCAAAGCCACATCGACTGGCAGTAAGAGAACTGTTGCTAGTAGCGCTGTGAGGGTGAATATGCAAACCGTGGTGACGTATGTAGACCTTTCACTCGGGGTTTGGTAGATGTAGATGAAAATGGATGATACAGCGACGAGGAGGAAAAACACGATCGCGTATACTACCCATATCAAAGAAGATTGTAGTAGTGCCATATCGAAACGTAGTCTAGAAGCTTGAGGACGGCGATATCCACTCAGGGGATTGACAAATATTCCTAGCTACATGCAAGGCGCGGAGAGTGCAGTGATTTGGAAGGAACGGTAATTCAATGCGAAGTTCATTGAAAGTAGAGAGGTAATGCGACAACAAAATCGCATCTCTAAATCTATCAACAACCTGAGAGTACACATGCATGGGATGAATATCAATCAAATCTTGGGCGTTGTTGTTGTTGTTGCTCTGTCGTCATACCTGATACAAGTTTGATCATGTGATTTAAAGCAGATTTGAAGAGCCCCAGTATGGTTGTCGCTAAGTCTAATTGGGAAATTTTGTGGACAAACCTTGAGCTTCAATATTATTCGACGCAGAAGAGCCAGCAACAATTCCCGAACCTCATCCATTGCCTTGTCTTGTTCATTGTTGCGTTTCTTTTCCGTTGCAATAATAATTCCCATGGTACGATAGCATATTCCTGTCTGGACTTCGCAATGCGAGTCTAGCTCTCCAAGCTCCATTCCAAAATTTGATGAGTTGAGAGAATGCAATGTTATACCGAGCTGCTGCCCCCTTCAGGGGTAACGCATGCTCTGTCCGTTCCTTTCCTGTCGGCAACATCCAACAATCTGATAGTGGCAAAAACTACCCTCCTCCAGGTGTTTAATCTGGTTAATGTTGTCTACGGATCTGGTCCTGGCCAGCCAGATGAGAAAACTCGATCACAGTACACCAAATTAGTGCTGGTGGCTGAATATGCTCTCTCAGGTACCATTACAGATTTGGGTCGAGTGAAAATACTTGACTCCAAAAGCGGTGGAGAAGCTGTTCTTGTCGCAACCCGTAACGCCAAACTTAGTCTCATTGAATGGGATCCTGAAAGACATCAGATTTCTACGACTTCCATTCATTATTACGAGCGGGATGATGTAAACATAAGCCCTTGGACGCCGAATCTTGCCAGCTGTCCCAGTTATTTGACAGTTGATCCGAACAGCAGATGCGCGGTACTCAATTTTGGCAAAAAGAACTTGGCTATTTTGCCATTCCACCAGGTGGGCGATGACCTGGTTATGGACGACTTCGATTCGGATGTTGAAGAACAGCATAGGAATATCAATCAAACGGCGGAAGAGACGGACGAGGCAAATAAGTCCAATGGACCAGTATTCCAAACTCCGTATGCATCGTCCTTCGTTCTCCCAATAGCAGCGCTAGAACCCTCAATGCTTCACCCTATAAGTCTAGCATTTTTATACGAATATCGGGAACCTACATTTGGCATATTATATTCGCAAGTGGCTACATCCTCTGCTCTGCTACATGATCGAAAAGATATAGTCTTTTACTCAGTTTTCACGCTAGATCTAGAGCAACGCGCATCTACTACCTTGCTCTCAGTTTCCCGCCTCCCAAACGATTTATTCAAGGTTGTTCCGTTGCCTCCGCCTGTTGGAGGAGCGCTGTTGATTGGATCGAATGAGCTAGTCCATATCGACCAAGCGGGCAAGACTAACGCCGTGGGAGTGAATGAATTCGCTAGAGAAGCATCTAGCTTCTCAATGGCTGATCAATCTGATTTGGAAATGCGCTTGGAAGATTCTATTGTGGAACAGTTAGGAGCGGAAAATGGCGATATGTTATTGGTATTACTCAATGGCAAAATGGCGGTACTCAGTTTCAAACTTGACGGGCGATCGGTATCTGGAATATCTCTGAGGCCGGTCCCAGACCAGGCAGGCAGCTCTCTCTTAAAGGCGAAGCCGTCTTGCTCTGTTCCAGTTAGCAGAGGCAAAATCTTTTTCGGCAGTGAGGAAGGTGACTCTGTATTGATGGGATGGTCACGTCCATCTGCTAGAACGAAGGATCCACGAGCACAACGAACGGGCGAGGGCAACATCGCCCAGCTCTCTGACGAGGACGACGACGAGGAGGAAGATGATGATGACGATGATGCATATGAGGATGACCTATATGCGACCCCGATGACAACAGGAATTAAAGCCCGAGATTATGTATCCGTGAACGGCACAGGCCTCAACGATTATATTTTTCGAATCCATGATCGCCTGTGGAATCTAGGTCCAATGAGAGACCTGACCTTAGGACGACCCCCTGGCCCGCGAGATAAGGATAAACGCCAGCCTGTCTCCAGCATACTAGCAAATCTAGAGCTTGTCACGACCCAGGGATATGGCAAAGCTGGCGGTCTTGCAATTCTCAGGCGCGAAATAGATCCTTTTGTCATCGATTCATTGATGATCAAAGACACGGATGGCGCACGGTCTGTGTATGTTAAAGACCCTAAGCTGCCTTCTCAAAGTGGGTCTCTTCCATTGAATCCTGGTAGCAACTATGACCACTACCTCCTGTTATCCAAGTCCAAAGGCTTGGACAAGGAGAAATCAGTTGTGTACAGAATGAGCAGTGGAGGGCTAGAAGAGACCAAGGCGCCTGAATTCAACCCAAATGAAGACCGCACTATTGACATTGGAACACTTGCTAGCGGGACCAGAGTGGTGCAAGTTCTCAAAGGTGAAGTACGGAGCTATGATAGTGGTAAGTTCATGTGATTTTTTTTTCCACTTTTATGATTAGCCACTAGGCTAAAATGAGATATTAAGAAATCACCTCGTTTTTGTCTCATGATTAATATGAAAGCGACCTTACTTCACGTATGGCATAATTAACTCGTGGTTAGGCCTTGGGCTCGCTCAAATATTCCCTGTGTGGGATGAAGATATGAGCGAAGAAAAATCCGTCGTTCATACAAGTTTTGCCGACCCCTATGTTCTGATAATCCGCGACGACCAATCGATACTGCTCCTTCAAGCGGATGATTCTGGTGACTTGGATGAGGCAGAAACCGATGGTATCATTAATTCAACAACATGGATTTCAGGATCGCTTTACCAAGATAAATATCGATCTTTCAAGTCACATGAAGGGCCGCCCAACATGAAACAATCGGATAACGTCCTTTTATTCCTCCTTAGCTCTGAATCAAAACTCTACGTAGGTAGCTGCACGTATTGATAACTTAGGATTAGAGTAAGCTAATTAGATTTGAAGGTATTCCACCTTCCGAACGCGAGGGAGCCAGTGTTTACTACGGAAAGTATTGATCTATTGCCCCAAATACTTTCAACAGAACCTCCCCCAAGACGAGTAACCTACCGCGAGACCATAACGGAGTTACTCGTTGCGGATCTAGGCGATTCTGTTAGCAGATCCCCTTACTTAATCGTGAGTTCTCCTATTTTGAGACAGAACCTTCTATCCGGCTTTAAAACTTACCAAATTCACAAAATTAGTTGCGATCCAGCAATAGTGACCTCATCTTATACGAGCCATACCATTACACCTCTTCCACTGAAAGGCAATTCTCTGGTTTGCGGTTTGTGAAGATCGCCAATCATCATTTTCCCAAATCCCATTCCGAATCAAATGCGGGGAAACATCCTGCGAACTGCACCGCGATATCGAAGCCACTGCGTGTCTTAGGGGATGTTTGCGGCTATCGAACAGTGTTTATGCCTGGTAATTCTCCTTGCTTCATAATAAAATCTTCCACAAGCATTCCACATGTTATGAACCTCAGGGGGAAAACAGTCCATTCTCTAAGCAGCTTTAATATACCTGCATGTGAGAAAGGGTTCGTCTATGTCGATACCGATGTAAGTATCTTTAGTTCATCTAATCTTATGGACAAGTAGCTTACATTCATTGCCCAGAATGTTGTGCGGATGTGCCGATTTCCTAGGAACACTCATTTTGACGGCTCCTGGGCTGCACGAAAAATTGGTCTCGGTGAACAAGTGGATGCCGTTGAATATTCCTCCTCATCCGAAACATACGTCATCGGAACCAACCAAAAAGTCGACTTCAATCTACCAGAAGACGATGAAATCCATCCTGAATGGCGAAACGAAGGTATGATACAATCATGTTGATGTAAACGTGGTCATTCCTAATTGAAATCTTTAGTGATATCCTTCCTCCCCCAGATCGACAAAGGGAGTGTTAAACTGCTAACCCCAAGGACATGGTCTATTATTGATAGGTAAGAGAATCTCGAGCTAATGTACGTATTCCTGTTAACAGATGTCCAGTTATAACTTGCGAACTGCGGAGCGTATAATGTGTGTCAAATGTTTAAACCTTGAGGTGTCCGAAATTACACATGAACGTAAGGATACGATCGTAGTAGGTACAGCACTCACGAAAGGAGAGGATATTGCCGCCCGTGGTTGTATCTATATTTTCGAGGTCATCGAGGTCGTTCCCGAGGTTGACCGACCAGAGACCAACAGGAAGCTCAAGTTGATCGCCAAGGAGGAAGTTAAGGGAGCTGTGACATCTCTCTCTGGAATTGGTGGTCAAGGGTCTTTGATTGCCGCTCAAGGCCAGAAATGCATAGTCAGAGGCCTCAAAGAGGATGGGAGCCTTCTCCCGGTGGCGTTCATGGATATGCAATGCTATGTTAACGTGCTTAAAGAGCTCAAGGGTACGGGCATGTGCATCATGGGAGACGCCTTGAAGGGCCTTTGGTTTGCGGGGTATTCCGTGAGTTTGCAAGATTCTAAACAACGATTCAGCAGGGATGTCTAACAACAAATTTATAGGAGGAGCCATACAAACTGTCTCTTTTCAGCAAGGATGACGGTACCCTCCAAGTGATGGCCGCTGACTTCCTTCCTGATGGAAATCGCCTGTATATACTGGTCGCTGATGATGACTGTAACATACATGTTTTGCAGTATGACCCTGAAGGTGAAATTTTTATTTCCTTCCTTTAATTTGACGAAAATGATTCTAACAAGCAGTCCCAACAGATCCTGGTTCTTCCAAAGGCGACAGGTTACTGCACCGCAGCACATTCCAAACAGGCCATTTTGCTTCAACCATGACCTTACTCCCTCGAACAGCAACTTCATCATCACAAAGACCAGACGCCGACCCGGACATGATGGATCTTGACTCCTCTGGGCCTCTTCATCACGTCCTTGTGACATCCGAAACCGGGTCTATCGCACTCATCACTCCAGTTTCTGAAACGTCATATCGACGCCTCTCAGCGTTGCAATCCCAGTTGACCAATACGCTCGAACATCCTTGTGGACTTAATCCTCGCGCATTTCGAGCTGTTGAGAGCGACGGGATTGGTGGACGAGGTATGGTTGATGGTGACCTGGTGAAAAGATGGCTTGATTTGGGCACTCAGCGAAAGGCGGAGATTGCAAATAGAGTGGGCGCAGATGTATGGGAAATTCGTGCTGATCTGGAGGCAATTGGGAAGGGAGGGTTGGGATATTTGTAAAATGTTTTTAAAATATTTTTTTCCTATCCCTTCCATATCTGATAGTAGTACCTAGGTTATAAATTTAGGTGTCTAGAGACATATTTCTGATCTAGGAGGCTATATAATACATTGAAGAGGTCGATCGAATTCATTTGACCAGCAAGGTAGTTGCAACGTAGCATTCTATATAATTTTTCGTGCTGATAATAACAATCGATTCCCAAATATCAGCCTCGCCCTTTACATCCAAGTAGAAGCCATGGGTATCTCGACACCACCATTTCATGATCTCACAACACCGATCATCGCCTCGTCAAGTAGTATCATATGAAATCTAGAAAAAATGGGAAGGAAAAAAGTAAAGGAAAAGAAGATTAAGAAGTACATGCATAATATACAGACTAGCTAGTGATTAGCTAGTGCCGGCACACACACCCTCCGCTGCAAATCTAGGATACCATAAACCGTCACTCCCGCTACCCTCATTTAGTCAAATCACTCAGCATTCTTCTTCAGCGTCGCCGATAACTCCCGCGCCTTACTTTCCAGCCCAGCTATTTCCCCTATTCAGAAAGGAAAAGGCAACAAACTATTAGTAAAACGGTCTTCTCTGAATCCATCTTTTGTTTAAAAGAATATTATTCACAACAATTAAGAGCGAGAGGCCAATTTCAGAAGCACCGATTTTCAAGCACATATAGTTGAGAAATAAATAAATGAAAAGTAACGTAGCACATCAGGAGAGGTTGATGGGAAACTTACTGTTCTTCATCACCTTCTCTTCATCAACCTCCAGCCTCATCCATGCCCAATAGATAATCTGGTACGTGAGCACGCCACCTAGAAAGACTTTTGCAAAGGCCCGGCCGAAATTTTTGTATATGCTTGTCTTTCAAACGATGGTATTAAGCACGTGCCGAGGCGTTTATCAAGGATGTCAGCTACAAACAATAGCAAGAAGGAAGGAGTAAAATGGAGGGGAGGGGAAACAGTAGCAGTGTATAAAAGCTCAAGAGAGAAACTGAGGGTAACGAATGGCTTACGTGGGCTGAAGGTGCATTGGTGGTTGTGGATTGTTGCGTGCTATCATCGTTGAGGTGTGAAGGCGTAGAGGTGAATGTTCGCCGAGTTAGCGACGATGGGACTGGATACTTTACAATACATGGTGATGGGAGTCGAGCGGCTTTTGGGATCCAAGGGCGAAACATTGTCGCCATCTGGTTTAGACTGGATGAGTGGTATATAACATTTATGTGCTGAGAGATCCGCTCGGAGTTGGCTCTGGACCGGGGCGGAAAAAGCATTGGCGGAAATCGAGCGGAAGAGCCAAGACTTCCAAGGTTGTCCAATATATTCACGTGATTGGAATATTTTCCCGAATTGTTGAAGGTGCTTCCAGGTTTCGTAAAATCGAGATACAAAGCTCGAGAATATCCGCTGAGAGTCGCTTTCCCCATTATACTATGAATCCCCTTTATTAAATTGATGTTGCAGCCCCAACAAAGATGCAGGAGTTGCTGATGGGTTCAAGTTCTTTAACAACAGGATACCTAGATGCTCCGTTCTTACCAGCGGCCCGCTCATTGCGACAGGTTCTCGCGGAGCTTTAATACATCTGGAAGAAATACGTTATGCAGGTCGCAACTACTTTGAGCTGCTCCCTCGAGACTTGGTTGCCATCCAGTCACCATATTGAGATGGGCTCTGTTAAGGAGTCTTCAATGCCCACATTTGCACAAATATTAGTACCTTCCACTTAGCCTCCCCGTATGTTTTCCGGAGCGCTTTATCTGGACTGCACTCTGGAATCACGCATCCATGGACAAGTTCTTGCTTGGGGTAGATTTAAGGGTGGTCTGTAGATAGAGGAAATCTTCAATATTAATAGCATGCAACACTGGGACCGTAGAATGAAAGCAGCAGATGAGACCGGTATGACCCTCATTTAATATCGACAAGCCGCCTTGCTTTTAGATTATTGGGTACCTTGGTAATGTCGGGCCTACTGTGGAGTTGCGACAGTACTCTCAGCTTCAACTGATATGGAAACCTCTTCCGACAAGACCAAGTAGATGCTTGGGAAGTAGAAAAGCAATTGCAGGATTCATGGATTGTGTATCACGTGACGGTACTGGCCCGAAACACCGCCCGATTTTGCAGGATGAAGGTGCGGAGTGACAAACCTAAGGGCCGATAAGCTTGGTTTTTAAGCGCCAGGGGTGACGTCGATCACCGCATTTTTTTTTTTTTTTCTATCTGGATATATTTGTCAATGAAAATTGAGGTGGTGCCAGGGGAGCAATGGGGCCGTCGCATTCTGGCTGAAAACCCACCAAAATCCTGTTCGCGGGAACGTGTCAGCTAAGGAGATATGTGTTCTGCAGCAACCCCGCTGTGTTTGAGGTGAATGTGGCATCTGGTGCTTGAAGACCGATACGCAAATGAAGGAATACCGGGGCCGCAGACCAGTTTCTGGAGAGAAGCATCGACCGTTTGTTTGGCTTCAACGACCAGAAGTCTGCAGCCGGAGACATGGCGCTAAACCGAGTTAGGACTTAGAGTGCCATTAGTCATGCAACACTAGTCTTAGCTGGGACTAGTCCCAGTGGATGAAGCAACCTTGGAAAAGCAGCCCAAAACCACCAAGGAGGCTCCAAGCGTCGTGAGAGCAGGAAGACAGAGAGGGAGAGTCGTTGCAGCAAACTTCTCTGAATATTCTGATTCCAGTTTCCTCTTCGACTTCCGCTGTACGGCGATAAATTTCTTCTGCTCTGTTCGAGGACCGCTAGAACCATCGGGACCTCATAGGACATTCAAACTGCAATCATCGCATCGATCCCCGTACCCCAATTGTTCCGCTGACTCGAGGAAGAGCCCTGGCAGCTCTGGTCGATGAACTCCGTCTTTAGTGTTCGAGCTTTGGGAGGAGTGTAAATGTTTGTTTCATCCGGCTGAACCTATTGCTCTCCTACTCTCCGTCCCTTTGCTCCTACCTCACTCCACCCTTACACTCTACCGCACTGCGTGTACGTGAACCTTTCAACTTCGTATTTTTTTCTTTTATTGTTGGTCGAAGAAATTATTCCTATCTTTAGAGGCATATAGCAGGGAATGAACCCCAAATGTTCGGGTGTTCTACGTTTACTGTTGCTGATATTAGCGCTCGGAAAAAGGGCTCCCTTACGGTATCCGGACGCGTGGGACATCATGCCTCGCGTTTCGAAACGCACCTTGGAGGAGATCGTGTTGAAGTCAGATTCCGATGATGGCGATTACAGCGATACCAGGCCGCGACCTGCGCGAAAATCCGCTACGGCCAAATCCAAATCAAAGAAACGGCCTACCAAAAGGCGGAGGAGAAACTCGATGATAGATGATGATGACGATGATGAGTCCGACATCCTCACCAGCGAGGATGACATTTCTGGTGAATCTGAGTTTGATGAGGACGACCCTACCCTGGAGCGAAACGCTCGAGGATCAATAAAAAGGCGTGCTGCGAAAAAGGCCAACTATCAGCTTTCGTCTACAAGCGATGATGATGAAGAGGACTTGGAGGAGGAGGAGCAGGAGGACGAGGACGAAGAAGAGGCAGATGAGCGGGATATGAAGGGTAAATCGCGAAATAATGACAAAGGCAGAACAACAAAACGACTACTGGTGAAATTTCCCATCGCAGCCCAGTCCAGCAATACTCGCACCACTAGGAACACCAGGGGTCGAAGCGCCAGCAAGGAACATCCGACACTCACCGAATATCAAGGGAATAGGCGAATTACTCGCCGAACCTATGATGAGACTGAGGATATTGTTGCTCTCACGGGTTCTGGACGCCACGTGGAGACAGTACGTAAGGCCACACGCAGCCCCGACGCCCTGCCACGGACACGCAGGGGTACTGCTGTGCCCGCCCGTGCCCCCTCCAAAAGTATCATCGATGAGGAAGATTATGGTGATAAGGTCCCTGTTGAACCGGTGGCGTCACAGATTGAAATAATGGAAAGTGACCAACACGGAGATTTCGAGGAAGACGCACCAGCTGTGGCTGCGTCAGATAATATTCAACCCTCAGCGGAAGCAGAAGAAAACGTCCAAGATAAAGACGTTGAAATGGGTGAAGAAGGCATTATACCTGAATCGGACCAAGGCGGGGAAAATGAAGACGAAGAAGAGGAGGAGGAGGAGGAGGAGGAGGATGCTCCACGGTCTAGTAGAAATTCTCGGGCAAGTCGGAAGCAGAACATGGCACTTGAAACAGTGGAAGGGGCAAGCCAAGCTACTCGCCGTTCGGCGCGCAAATCTACGGCTCGAAATTCGCGACAACCACAAGACGACGGCAGTGATTTTGAACCTAATGATGACGAAGCTAATGATGAAGATTTATCTGAATCTGAAGCATCAGCCGCCTCACCACGCAAGGGCAGCCAACAAAATATCGAGGAGGTATATGAGAGTAGTAATGACCGTCGATCTAGGCTAAGAAAGCGACAATCTCATTCCCAAGGAAGAGTTGAGTCGGAGGCAGGTGAACTCGCAGAAGAACTTGCAGAGCTGAGGCCTGAACGCCGCCGCCGGAGAGTGCAAAATGAAATAATCTATGAAGATAAACCACGGCGCACTCGGAAATCTGTGGACTATAGAATCATCCGACCTGAGATTACTTTGCCTATTGAAGAAGAAGACGCACCTTCCGGCTCTCCTTCCCGCCGCGGCCGTGGAGGAGGGAGCGGCTGGCAGAGGACTCTCTTTTCAACTTATGGCCCCTTTGGTGGCGCGGGAGGCCGTCCGCCACTCCTAGGGGGGCCAGCGGGTACTGGTGCAGCAGGTGGAGCGGACAGCGACAGTAGCGACGACGATTCCGGCCAAAGACCAATGGTTGGTGGGATGGCAGGGATGACCCCTACGTCAGGTCCTGCATCGGGGTTCAATGTTGCAGGCCATGCATTCGCACCGGACAATGCTCCTGGCTTGTCAGGCACTCCAGCGAATTTCGGGAAAGTGAAGGATAGGCAAGCTCTGGCTGACGCTGACCCTCTGGGTATCGATCCAAATGTCAATTTTGACAGCGTGGGGGGCCTACAAGGTCATATTGACCAACTCAAGGAGATGGTTGCACTTCCTATGCTCTATCCGGAGATTTTCCAACGGTTTCATATCGTTCCACCTCGTGGAGTTTTGTTTCACGGTCCTCCTGGTACCGGAAAAACACTTCTAGCTAGGGCTCTCGCCTCAAGTGTGAGTTCAGAAGGCCGAAAGGTAACCTTTTATATGAGAAAGGGGGCGGATGCTCTCAGCAAATGGGTCGGTGAAGCGGAGAGGCAACTCCGTTTGCTTTTCGATGAAGCTCGCAAGACGCAGCCTAGCATTATCTTTTTCGATGAAATTGATGGTAAGTTCTTTGATGGACAATTAAGTACCCTTGCGGAGAGAATCATTACCTGATAGAATTGAAATACAGGCCTTGCGCCCGTCCGATCGAGCAAGCAGGAACAGATCCATGCATCTATTGTTTCCACTCTCCTTGCGTTGATGGACGGTATGGACGGTCGAGGCCAGGTTATTGTCATAGGGGCAACGAATCGACCTGATTCTATAGATCCTGCCTTGCGACGTCCTGGGCGGTTCGATCGCGAATTCTACTTCCCTCTACCTAATACTGAAGCCCGGCGAGCGATTTTGGATATCCATACGCGGGGATGGGATCCTCCCCTTCCTAACGAAATCAAGGATGAATTGGCAGAGCTGACTAAGGGCTATGGTGGTGCAGATCTACGGGCTCTATGCACGGAAGCAGCCTTAACTGCCGTGCAGCGAAGGTATCCGCAAATATACAGGTCCAATGAGAAGCTCCTCATCGACCCTAAGAAGATAGAGGTTTCTCCGAAAGATTTTATGATATCACTCAAAAAGCTGGTACCCTCATCGGAGAGGTCCGCATCATCTGGTGCATCGCCTTTGCCCTCCATTGTTGAACCACTTCTAAGAGTTCCGCTGCGCGACATAAAACAAATCCTTGCAGAGATTCTTCCTCAAAAGAAGAGGCTCACGGCTCTGGAAGAGGCTCAGTTTGAAGAGCCGGAGGATTCGGTTGGGTTCAAAAGGGAACGGATGCAGCAAGAATTTGAGACTTCACGTATCTTTCGGCCAAGATTGCTGATCCGAGGAAATCCAGGAATGGGACAGCACTATATTGCGGGAGCACTGCTCCATCACTTTGAGGGGCTGCATGTACAAGCCTTTGATCTTCCAACCTTGATAAGTGACTCAACGAGGTCCCCTGAAGCTAGTGTAGTTCAACTGTTTACAGAGGTGAAACGACACAAACCAAGTGTCATCTATATACCCAACGTACAAACCTGGTACGAAACTGTGGGACAAACAGTTATTGCAACATTTCTCGGCTTACTACGTTCGCTTCACCCAACAGACCCTGTGTTACTTCTTGGTGTCCTCGAAGATGATGGCGACAATATCGATACGACGATGATGCGTGATTTCTTCAGCTTTTCCAAAAAGAATCGATTTGACCTTCACGCACCCGAAAGCCTCTGGCGACATGAGTTCTTTAATACTTTGATAAAGTATATTAAAAGTGCTCCGCCAGAATTTCCTGACTCGGAAAATAGGAAAAGGCGTAAGCTCGAAACATTAGAACGAGCACCCCTTGCTCCTCCACCCCCACCAGCACCTCCAACAAGGCAGGAGATAAAGGCGCAAAAGAAAAAGGATCGGCAAACCTTGAATATTTTAAAAATTCGAATTCAACCAATCATGGACGAGATTAAGAAGTATAAGAAATTTCGGGCTGGCGTCATTGACGAAGCACAAATTATGTACCTGTATGAGGAGGAGGATCCGAATGTTGTGACGACTGATGTACCCTTAGAACACCGTACTACTTTCCGTCCGTTCGAAAAGGATGTGGACAAACACGGTGTACCAGGTTTGCGCGAAACTGTATCCGGCAAGTTTTACTACAACATGGATATCGTCACGATCGAGAAACGGTTGTCGAATGGATATTATAAGCGGCCGAAGGACTTTTTAGCCGATATCAAGAGGATTGCGAAAGATGCCCGGCAACTTGGTGACCAGGATAGGCAGTTGAAGGCAAACGAGTTACTCTCGAATGTTGAAGTCGATATCGGGAACCTTGAACAATCGGATCCTCCACTTGTGGCTGAGTGCGAACAAGTCTACCTTCGTGAAGTCGAACGTGAGAGGGTTGCTCTTGAAAAAGCGAAACGGGTTGCAGGCTCAGATGGTGCCATGGCTCCTCCGCCAATAATGAATGTTCCCCATGGAAATACGGAGAATTCGAACCAGTCGTCCGGCCCTGTTGTCCTGGGCGAACCATTTTCAAATGGTCGTCTCCCTCTACGGAGGGAGCCTGCCACCCCTCCCCGACCATCTCACCCTAGTACGATTACAAATGGGTACGGGCCAAATAAATCTAGCAAAGATGCGGATGAAGACGTGACTCGACCTCTCACCAGCAACGGATCTATCGGTGCAGATGGCGACGTTCAAATGTCAAATTCGGATGACGTGCAGCCAAGCGAGCGTGAAAATACGCAAAATAGTTCTTTTGGGCCATCAGCACAACCACGACCACCCCACTCTTACACGGGACCATCCCAACAGCTTCGGCAACAGTCTGGTCTCTCGAATTTGTCGCAGAAGGGAACATTGACGCCAATGGCCCCTGGTTCGCAGCCAGGTGATTACGCCAACGATGCGTCAACTACGCAGACGACTACAGACAAGAAACAATCGGGCCCTTCGGATTCAAACCAGCTGAACACCCAAAGCTCAATTGATGGTTCAACGAAACATGAATATCCCGATCTGAATTTATACCCTGACCGCTTGTCTGGGGATGAACCTTTACCCGATACGCAGCAGGGAGAAAGTGGCGCATGGGGAACACCCCTCGCAGGCAACCTAGATTTTGTGAACTCGCAACATAGCCTAGTCAATGGCAGCCAATCACAGAGCAACAACAGTAAATTCTCGCAACTGGGGACGCAACCACACATACCACCGTTCGACGGCTCTGGACCAAGGACGACTACCACACCCCGCCAAGTGCGTGTACAGGAACTTCTGCATGCGGAGGGAGCTCAACAACATCAGCGGCACACATTTGATACTGGAAAGTTGATTGTGGATGATCGTCGACTCGAAGCACTGCATCACACTCTTACGCAGAGGACGAATGGGCTCTCTGTGGAGCAACTGGAGCAGGTTAATAAGAGTCTGATGGATTGTGTGTGGAAGATGCGTGGGGAGTGGAATCGGGTGGAGGTTGCGGAGGCAGTGAAGCAGGCGTTTGAAGAGGTTTTGGGCGATATACAGTCTATGCAGGACTTTGCTGCGATTCCTTGATTCCTTTTCTTTTACTTTCTTTCTTTCTTTTTTGGTGAGGCGGAAGGCACATGGAGCCGGTACCATTTGGTGTTCATATATTTTATTTCCTTGTCTTAATTTATTTTGTTATCTTTCTGTGGTCAGAGTCTATTCCACACTGTTCTACGTATTTAAAATACGTGAGTTCTGTGCAATTTCGTTTGTTTTATCCCTTCTGATTTTGATTCTATGAGCTCAGATCGGCTTGTTGGTTGGTCATGATATCTCACAATCATATTGCTGTCTTTGTCTTACAGATGGGCCCTCTCCCCTTTCTCCTTCCTGCACTGTTTGTTGTATTTTTTTTTTTTTTTTTTTTTTTTTTTTTGAATTTGGGTACGATATTTCCCTTCCACCTTCGCCTGTTTGATTTGTACGGTTTCTTTTATTTTGTCCCACGCTCTTATCCCCTCCCTGCATTTCCTATACAACTGGTTCTACGACAGTGACATATATACGGGGCTGTACTTATTATCGAATGCTAGATATTGTATGCACATAAATCGATCTTCCGTGAAGGCAAAAGATAGTTCATTCGTAAAATAGTTGGGAAATTTCCAGTGGAGTATTCTGTACAATACCGTAAGGTCGTTGTGATTGCCGGAAACATACTAGCGCGATCTGGCCACAAAGTTGCCCAGGTGTCATCTTGCTTCTTGCTGAACCAAGCTCTGCGCCGATATCTTTGCAGCCCGATCGAGATATATGGAGAGCAGCACACTACCACTATGCGCAGGTCGAGGACCCCTATTTTGCGTATATCTTTTCCGCCGAATGTCTAGGCTAGCGCATTTCTCTTTCGATTTGGACAACGATAACAAGCCTTCCCCGTTCAACGGGTGATCTGCCGAATCCCTTGGAACGAACCTCCTATTCCGCCATTTTTTTTTTTTTTTTTTTTTTTTTTTATTCAGCCACCCTGTGACTTGCGACCTCTTTTCTGCATTATCCAACCCAATAGTCCTATCGTGACGGGTCTACGTATAGCGAGTGGCTTTGAAGTTGTTGCTGCCATAGTCAGGGGGAAAAATATATCATACAGGGGCAAGAGAGTGGTCGAATTTCCCCGTCGGGCTCTGCGAAATCTCGCATACACATTCATTCACATCCATCCACCATCTTTTTGCATGATGGTGAACTGGCTCAGTTTAACCATTCCCATCGCCTACATTGGCATCCTCATCGGATCGTTAGCGACGTTCTCCTCGCTATATCGCAAGCGGAAAGCTGGTAAGTTTCAACTCAACAGCTTCTAGGTTGTTCTATTCAACCATAATTGGCTTGACTATTTCTCTTTACCGGCGCAGCTGAAGCTGAAGCCACCCCGACCCCAATGTGATAACATCCGTGCAGACTACGTTGTTCTTTTTCTAACTTATATTTATTCCAACCAGCTAAATCATACGCCTTAAAACCATGGTTTCCTGCACACTGTCAACGAGATATATACCTCTCTCTCACCCACCTTCACGATGAGCCTAGCACATCGCAAGCAGCAACGGCGACGTCAGGTTCGTCGTCGACAAAGGAGAAGAAGGCACCCGCTGTCCCCGAGACTGTGCTCAAAGCTGCTCTCCTCCGCCGTGCGACCGAGGATATCCGCCGACTAATCGAATTACGTAGTCGAAAACCAGCGCTCGCGGGCCTGTTGCAAAAGGGCAGTGTTGGCGATGATCTGTGGCAACAGTTCCTAAGGGCGGAGAAGGAAATGGAAGAGGAAGTCAGAGATGTGTTTGCCGAGGTAAGCTTAATATTGGATCTCTCTTCCTTTTCATGCTTTCATTTTGACACTGTTCCCTTACAATTTCCATTTTAAATCTATTCAGGCAAACCACTTCGTTCCAAACTGGGGTACCACCATCTTCCAATCCGCCAACGAAATTGTTGCCAACACGTTCCTCCGCAAAAAAATCGAGGATATCCAATCTACCGTGAAAGATGAGCGAGAATGGTGGGATAAAAAGAAGGCTAGAATCCAAGAGGGATTTTTGAAGGAGTTGGAAATGGATCCTTCCGCCAAACAGACCGGTTCGGGATCACAACCAACGCCGTTTAAACAGAATAGTAGTGATGATGACGCCGTGCTAGTTGAGAGTGGCGGGCCCGCCGCTGGTAGTGGTGGTAGTGGAAAAAACAAGAAGAAGAAGGGGAAGAAATGATGTTCATCTTTTCATATCCTTCTTTACGCTGCCCCTTTCTGCTTTCTATACTTTTTATAAAAGCCACTACTTCGTGGCTCGCTGATGGAGGTTTGGCGTTGGCACTCAATAACAGTTCGGTCCCTGTTTTGATGTTTAGGTGGTCCGAGTGATCCGATTGTGTCTCCCATCGCAATATCCGGGAGACATTTTGTGCGCTATATATATATATATCTTTATCTTATCTCATCACTTTGCTGTTTATGTGATTCGTTAGACATGCGGAAAAATGGGGTTCGGTCATTTCTTTTCTAACTTTTTCATCGTTGACTCTGTTGCCCCCTTGTCGAATGCTAATTATAATTATTTTTTGTTATTCCAAACTTCTTTACTGTAGCACCAGTTGCTTCGTTTATCTCATATATAAGCCATCTCTTGACGCACTGACATCTAACGAATGTCAGTTTATCTTTTCTCTGTTTTAAAGCATATTCAGGATCATATCCTTGTCCCTCGATTGGTATTTCAATAAAGGAAACGTTGTAATGAAACTATTTAAAATATCCGAGAAGCAGGATCAGGAAGAAACGACCACATGGGGCCCTCACTGGGCAGAGGCTCGCGTTGTCTACACAGTTGACACGGGCGGTTTATATAGCAAAAAGTATTTAATATCATTTACCTTTTATATATATATATATATATATATATATATATATATTATTGAGGAAAATACAATTATAATTACTCATTTCTCCATATTTATCCCAGATACGCCTTTCGTCCCCGCCCAGGAGAGTTAATAAACTTATATAGTACTATACATAATAGTCAACAAATCACCCCAGTAGACCCCCAGAAGACATGTATGAATAAGTGAGGAGGGAAACGAAAAGGAAACAAAAGATACAAGCTCCCCTATTTAAATCATAAACCAAGAAAAATTGGAGGTATTTCTTTTAGAAAAGATTGCACAAAATAACATAAGTGCTAGGTGTTCCTACTGAGTTGAACATTAGTGCAGCGGGCAAACACCGTTAGGAAGATTGGGTGTCAAGGCAACAACTCCGCTGGTACTGGCTCCCCCAAATACAATTCCTCACTCTCTCCCATATCGAGCGCTGCCTTGCGGATCTTATCCTCGTTCTTGCGAGGATCCTCCGCCAACCGACTTAGCACAACCCGCAATAAATCCGTATACAGGTTTACCTCATGATCTTTCCGTGACTTCATGTCTAGGTCCTCTATCAGTAAGCCCTGTTTGCCCAACTCCACTACTTTCCTATCACGAAGCGTTTCTAGTAGCTTCGTCACGTGCTGTAGGCTTTCCTTGCTCCGTGGGTTTGTGGAGATGCGACGTCGGTGGTGACGAGCCTTCTTCTTGTCTTCGAGTTCCGGTGGAGCTGGCAGGAGGCGGACCACCTCGAACATTAGGATGCGGGCTGTGACGATGTCCGGGATGTAGCCGAAGACATGTCGCAGGGAATGTAGGGCGACGATTGTGCCTTGCGGGTCAAGCGAGAAAGAGAAACAGCGGAGGATTTGGTCGTAGAGGTTTTTGGTAAAGAGTCTACGGACATTGGCTTGGCTACGCGGACTCAGGCTGAAGTACCAGTCCATCATTTCACGGTACAGGACACGAGCGGTGGGGAAGTTAGAGTCGAAAGATGGTCGCGCGCGATCATATTGGATTTTGGCGCAGTCCCAAAGGCAAGCAAACGTTTCTAGATCGGGGCGGACAGTCGCTGACATTTGCTGGTAGCGGGTCCAGACGCCAAGGACGTCCTGTTTGCGCAACTCCGCGAAGAGGAGATGGTTCATGAAAAATGCATTAGGTCGCATCTGTGCTTTTTCGAGGCATTCAATAACGTAGTTGGCTAAATGTTCTTGGCCACGCCGAGTATAATAAAGTAATAGTAGGGAAAATGTTTCGATGCTCGCCGGGGGAACAGTCTTGTGTGCAAACTTCGGAATACGGATACCATCATTGGCATCATGAACTGACGGCTTGCTCGATTCAGGTGATGGGCTCTTCTGGCGCGACCAAACAGTGTCAATCCTTTCCTGAATCATCGCCCACCCGAGTTTTGCGGCCTTTTCTCTGCTATCGACGCTATCTTTGCGGAGCCAGCCGCTTATGACTCCGTTTAGATGTTTTGCGTCTGGTTTAATGCCGCGTTCGTACATCAATTCGACGACCGCAGCTGCGGAATCAATCTCGCCCATACCGATCAATTTCTTCATCCAACTTGCATAGAAGAACTTGTTTTGAAACTTTCGGGGCATGATCGTAAGTGCATATAGTGATACCTTATTCACGTCCGCCTCTGTGATACTTGAAGCTTGCAGATTGCCAACCAAGCCAAGGGAGGCACGGTAAAGTGATGTTGAGTCGGAGGGCGACGTTTGTCCTGAGAGCATCATATCCTTGAAGACCGCAACTGCCATGTCAACTCTACCAGCTTTCAGGAAGCCAATACTTATCGAATCGTAATCATTCATATTTATATCAGACCCAAGTATTGTTTTGAGCCGTAGGTACAAGGTCCAAGCTCGAGCGCCGTTCGTATTTCCGGGGATTTTAGCCCAGGCAACGATTATGGGTATTAGAATACGTGGCGGCCGGGATTCATCGTCTGCAAGAAACGCCAATGCTATATCTTGCGCGCTTTCCAATTCCCCATTTGCTATCAATATCTCAACCCCCAACTTCCAAAACTGCTCAACTTCCATTTTCGAACCATAGTGTAGATGTTTCTCTCGGCTTTTCCACAAAGAAAGTGCTTTATTTGACTGGCCATTGTCAAGAAGGAGTGTAATGTACCGCAGCCATTGGGGTTGCGTTAAGTCTCGGCCATTCGAAAGGATATCTTCTGCAAAATCCTCCCAGTGTCCAAGCTGCGGGGTTTGGAGACTGGCACTTTGACTTTGGGAATTCCACAATATGGTCAAGGTCTCTTCTGGCAACAATTCAACAAACGCAGGTATTAAGGCTTTACATCGTTGATATGACCGCCACAGCTCCTGCCTATGGCCCCTGGTTGGATCTTTGATTAGAACCTTTAAATTCTGGTTAAATCTGTTAACATGCGCTTGAGCGGTGTCCGGGACCTTCAATTCGACTTCGAACGATTCTTTATGAGGTGACTTAGATGCCTCTAGCATTTCTTTTGGATTCCATTCCGCTGTTTTCTGTTTCTCCAAATCCTGCTTTTCCTCTGCAATCATTTCATCTAGTCCCGCAAAAAAGTCTTGATAACGCTGATTATCCTTTGTTTCCTCTTCCACATGTTCTTCTTCATATTTGCGGACGGCGTCACGTACTATCTCTCTTTGCTTTTCCGATAACTGTTTCATCAAGGGGCTATGCGGCCCAAAAGGGCCCTGCTTTATCTCCTGCAGCTGTTCCTGCAGCTCTCGGATTTTGGCCCAAATAACATCTTGTTCGGCCTGTTCTTCCTCCTCTGGATATACCTCGACTTTCTCTTTGCTCCACCGCGTAGGTTGCTCAAACCATCGTATAGAAGCTTTGGGGTTGTTTTTGCGGCCGTCGCCATTTGAGTGGGCAGCGGAGCTTGACAAGTGCCTTTGTGTGTGCGGATGGGGAGGAAAAAGGAGGCTGAAGTGACTCTGATGAACACCATGACGATGCCATTGAGCCCGGGACAGACTCAGACGTCGCATGGATGTAAAAGTGCAAAATCAAACCATCGGAGCGGAAGGTCTTGCCAAGCTCCAAAAAACTATGTTTGAGATCCCAAGGGATGGAAGGCAATAATACGCCGAAATGTAATCTTACGCATAATGACGTCCATAAGTTAACTAAGTTACGATGGCTCATTATATAATCAACACTACCCTGCCCCAGTAGTGTTTTGGTGTTTGCGGCCGTCAAAATTATTTACGATTCTACGAGCTATAATGGCCATTGCTGATATTCACGACGAAAATCGTGGGTTGGAGAGCCTCGACGGTTCAGAGCACCAAGTTTGTCTTTCCCTTCATGATATCCCCATTCAATCAGCTAAACATTCGTGCAGGGTTCATACATTTACAAATCTATACAAAAGGACAATGCACAAAATGAGCGCCCATCTAAAAGACGTAAAATACCCAGCGCCACGGCATCTCAGAAAGAAAAAGGCTTTCCATTTGCGCCTCTATTGGAAGGCGAAGAAGACATAGAATCTGTCAAGCTGCGATATAGCTTATTCCAAGAATTCTGGGCCCGCCAGGAGCAACAAATTCAGGTTCGTTGGATTGAGGATGATGATTTTTAAAAATGAGAAAATGGTACTAATAGTCGGAAAGGGGATACTCCGTGACGTAGACTCGGAGATTTTAGGCAATGTTTCTACGTTCCTAGAGCATAGCTCACCCGACAAGTACGTTTGTTGGATTTCGCTCCCAGAGAACGTTGTTAATTGATCCATATCTAGCTATGACGGGCGTATCCCTACCGGATTAATTACTCTGGGTTCCAATATTTCATCGATGGGACGATTATTAGATCGGCTACGCGAACAAATACAATCCAGAACGACTGGACTGGTGGTTACGCTGGATTCTGGAAATGCTTCCAACCTCAAAAATATTCTGAAGCAGATCATTCGATCTGGTACAAATATAATAAATGGTGTGGATAAGGATGGGGACCAAGTTGTGTGTATAGCTTCCTATTCTTCCTACGGACATCAGCATTAAAACTTTTCCAGGGCCCAAAGCCTCTTGCTTATGACCTAAATATTCTGCATGGCTATGTAAAAGAGAATGCGATTAGGAAAGTGGTAATTGCTTTTCGAGACAGTGAAGCCTGGGACCATGGATTATTGGGGGACCTAATATCATTACTCAGGTAAGTGCTCAAGAAATTTTGGCATTCCTCTACTAACTTTATTCAGTTCCTGGCTTGATCGAATCCCCTTCGTTCTTCTCTTCGGTATTGCAACTTCTGTCGAGCTCTTTGAGGCCAGACTTCCGAGATCCCTGGTAAATCTACTCCAAGGCTGCCGATTTGACATTCGGGACCCTGGTGATTCCGTAAACCGAATCTACACGACTCTCCAAACGTGTCAGAAAAGCGCTCTATGGTTGGGTCATAACGTGAGCAGAATTCTTTTTGAAAAGTTCAGAGACCATTTTCAGAGTCCGGAAGGCTTCGCGAATGGAATTAAGGTGTGTAGATTAAAATATTTCGCATTATACCCTGCCTTGGAGTTGCAATGCTGACAACACTAGTATGTGTATATGGCTCATTTTTTCGCCAATCCCTTATCCACGCTACTCTCAACAGTCGAATCAGCAAATACCTTCTACCCGGATTTATGTGAGGCTATTCGAAATATTCCCTCCTTCCGTAGGTCAGTATTGAACTTCCCAACTACCTCGAAGCTTAGCGTATAACTCACTTATAATTCCTAGACATATCCATACTTTGCTCGATGAAGGTGCAGTGGAAATGGTACGAAAAGTTTTAGTAGATGACGAGTTTTTAGCGCAATATGCCAGATCGAATCTTCGCAGTGGTAGGAAAGATCAGCTCCATGTTGCGTTCCGTTGAGACTTTATCATCTGTACTA